ACAGGAAAATAACTTCTGTGCTCCCTTAGCATCAACTCACAAAGCTAAACAAGATCTGTTTTCACTTCTTGCTGAGACAGATCAGTCCTGAATACTAGAATGGAGGCTGGAGGTAGGGGAGGGAATGGGGTGGGTGACAGGGAATAAACATCAGAGAGAAGGGCAGAGATGGAAATCCAGCTTCAGAAAATTAGGAAACTGGGCTGAGATTCCCCCCCCAAAGGTGGCTGAAAAGTCAAACCCTCACTGGGTGTCAGCAGTTTGCTTGGTTGGGATGCTGCTGACAAGAAAATGAGTCATTTAGCATCCCTTTTCTTTTAAAACTGTCAGATATTTACTAAGGGCCAGAACTGTATTGTCTGAATATTTGCAGACGTTCCAATAAATATGAGTCATGGAATCTAAGATGACAGGTATAGAAGATGCTGCCGGGGCCCCGCCCATAGGCCCTGGCTCTTACCTCCACACTCTGAAGGCTGCCTAATGCCCCGCTGACACTGCCTGGGGCTTTTTCTAGCTGCAGGAACCCCTTCAGCCAGCGTACAAGATAACTTGGAAATGCTGGAGAGCCAATACCCCTGGAAACGGCACTCATCCCGTCATGGAAGGGCAGTGAGTGGATAACCCCCTTACCCATTAGTTGGAATGACTTAGGATTTGCTGACCCCAGAGACCCCCATGGTGCTAACTGGCCCAAAAGAACACCTTTGAGATTTCCTTCTCTTCTCTGTCTTTCCTCCCTACTCCTCGCCAGTATTTTAAGGTCTGCTCCTGGGGAAATCTAACCCAAGGCAACAGGACTAGTAGCTCAGGAGTTGTAAGCTAGGAGAAGAGAGGTCACGAAGACGTGCACCCTGAGTTGTGCGACCAGGGAACAGGCTGCCTCAAGAGGGGAGGAAATTCCTGTCACTAGAAATGCACAGAAGATCTGGCGACCATCTCAGAAGGCCCCACAGAAGTGATCCTGCATTGTTTGGAGGTCCTGGCGTTCTTGATGAAGACATCTAGTCACTCATGCATTCATTCATTCAATAGCTACTTAGTGAGCTTCTGAGCTTAGGAAGTTCAGTCTTAGGGAAATAGGATTTCTCAGGGCTCAGAGGAGAGTTGTGGGTCTTGTGACTGAACATCACTATTAGAAAGTGTTTCTGGCCGGGCGCGGTGGCTCAAGCCTGTAATCCCAGCACTTTGGGAGGCCGAGGCGGGTGGATCACAAGGTCAAGAGATCGAGACCATCTTGGTCAACATGGTGAAACCCCGTCTCTACTAAAAATACAAAAAAAATAGCTGGGCATGGTGGTGCGTGCCTGTAATCCCAGCTACTCAGGAGGCTGAGGCAGGAGAATTGCCTGAACCCAGGAGGCGGAGGTTGCGGTGAGCCGAGATCGCGCCATTGCACTCCAGCCTGGGTAACAAGAGCGAAACTCCGTCTCAAAAAAAAAAAAAAAAAAAAAAGAAAGTGTTTCTTAGAAGTTGTGTTAAAATTTCTAATCATATATCTTTAGTTAATAGATAGGTATGGCCGAGCACAGTGGCTCATACCTGTAATCCCTGCACTTTGGGAGGCTGAGGCGGGTGGATCACGAAGTCTGGAGTTCAAGACAATCCTGGCCAACATGGTAAAACCATGTCTCTACTAAAAATATGAAAAGTATCTGGGCATGGCGGCACACGCATATAATCCCAGCTACTCTGGAGGCTGAGGCAGGAGAATACCTTGAACTCAGGAGGCAGAGGGTTGCAGTGAGCCGAGATCACACCATTGCACGCCAAAGTGGGCAACAAGAGGAAACTCAGTCTCAAAAAAATAAATAAATAAATAAATAGTTGTGTATCTTAAAATTAGATTAAGTCAACTTCTTTTTTTTTTTTTTTTTTGAGACAGAGTCTTGCTCTGTCTCCCAGGCTGAAGTACAGCAGTACGGTCTCAGCTCATTGCAACCTCCAAATCCTGGGTTCAAGTTATTCTCCTGCCTCAGCCTCCCAAGTAGTTGAGATTACAGGCACATGCCACCATGCCCAGCTAATTTTTGTATTTTTAGTAGAGTCGGGGTTTCACCATGTTGGCCAGTTTGGTCTTGATCTGCTGACCTCACGATCCGCCCGCCTCGGCCTCCCAAAGTGCTAGGATTACAGGCGTGAGCCACAGTTCCTGGCCCCTTTTTTAAAAAATCATTGTTCAGAGAATACAAGAACTCCAGAAGTCTTTTCTCAGAGGATATGAAAGTGCAATCATGGTGGGCACTTTTAGTCCTAAACTCCTACAGTCTTACCAGTTCTTACCCATTCCCTGTCCCAGATCTGACTCCATGATCACCTTCCAGGCCCACCTTCAACCTCTCCACCCCCACCACCGCCCACATCCTCAGTGAACACACAGCTGGTTCCCTAAGACAAACATTCAAACAAGAGAAAATGCACTCTTCAAAACAATTATAGGTTTGCATATTTGGATTTACCAAGATGATGACTAAACTTTCTAAATTCTCACTTCTCCTCCTGTACTTTCTCACCTCATAACTTTGAGCTAGGCTGCCAGTGAACAGGAGGAAACTGAAGGTTATGTGACCATGGGCAGAACACAGCCTCTTGGGCCTCAATTTCCTTATTTGGAATAGAAGTGAGTTTCATGGGCCTGGTGCAGAGGCCCACACCTATAATCCCAGCACTTTGGGAGGCCAAGGTGGGCAGATCACCTGAGGTTGGGAGTTCAAGACCAGCCTGATCAACATGGAGAAACCCCATCTCTACTAAAAATACAAAAATTAGCCGGGCATGATGGTGCATGCCTGTAATCCCAGCTACTTGGGAGGCTGAGGCAGGAGAATCGCTTGAACCTGGGAGGCAGAGGTTGCAGTGAGCCAAGATCATGTCATTGCACTCCAGCCTGGGCAACAAGAGCAAAACTCCATCTCAAAAAAAAAAAAAAAAAAAAAAAAGTGAGTCTACCTAAAAGTGTTAGGTAGACCCAACAACTACGGGCTCTACCTACCAGCCTGGACATTGTAGGACTTGGTGTGTGGGACAAAATGAAGCAACAGAGAGAGCGCTTGTGGAGTCCCCAACTCTCGCTGCCGCTTCCCTGCACCATTGCCCTGCAACACCAGGGCCACCCCCATGCTAGTCTCCCTTCAGAGCTTGCTCCTGGGTGAGTCTGAGCATCGGTCCCACCTTCTCTCTAACCGTGGAAAGACGGACTCTGTTTCCCATTTAAAGGGTGCCAGACCATAAATGGCAGAGGTATGTAAGAGCCAACAGGCTCTTCCCAAAGCCTGTAAAGTCAAACTCCATGCTTTGCTCAGCCCTCAACTCAGTCCTAGCATCAGCTCAAAAAGCAGGTTGTGACCAGGCAATAGGTAAAGCAGGGTTCCAATCACTGGGCCAGCTGGGCAGGAAGTGACCGGGAAGCTCTACAAACCAGCCCACACGTGTCTGCCCACAACTGCCCCAAGACCTCCCACCCAGATCCCAGACGGCTGCCAATCTGTCGATTTATACAGCTTCGGAACCACAGTTAAAAATCCCTGAGATTATCAGCAGAACCAGATTTTGGCCCAAGAGCCTGTATGATCTTGGGCATGTCACTTAGCTCTTCTCCTGCCAGCTTTGCCATTTGAAACATAGGCATGAATGCATTAATGTTGAGCCTGCTCCATGTTTATGAGTTTCCTTAAGTGAGAGCACTGCTTAGGAAAAGGAAGTGAAAGGTTGTGGTCAATATATTTCCCATGATTTTCTTTGGGTGGATATGGCTATTCTACATATTTTTCTTACACATCTCTGTCATTTCCCTATATTTTGACAACAAGCACATGCTACTTTTGTAACAATAAAATTAAACACTAAGGCTAGGTGCAGTGGCTCACACCTGTAATCCCAGCACTTGGGGAGGCCAAGACAGGCAGATCACCTGAGGTCAGGAGTTCGAGACCAGCCTGGCCAACATGGCGAAACCCCGTCTCTACTAAAAATACAAAAATTAACCGGGAATGGTGGCGGGCGCCTGTAATCCCAGCTACTCAAAAGGCTGAGGCTGGAGAATCACTTGAACCCAGGAGATGGAGGCTGCAGTAAGCCAAGATCACGCCATTGTACTCCAGCCTGGGCAACAAGCACGAAACTCCATTTCAAAAAAAATAAAAATAAAAATAAACACTTATCTAAGAGAGGGTTCTACATACATACAACTGCCCACTGTTTAGCCTGTCTAGATTCCTCACTGGTAATATCCCCAACTCTTTGTCTCTAGGCTGGAAGTGACCCAATAACTCATTTGATCCCAATCCTCATATTACCAATGAGGAGACTGCCTGGCCCTCACATTTGTTAGTATCTGTTGTATACCTTCTCCAACTTTCTCACCAAGAAAAAGCTAAAGAAAACTCAGCAAAGAAACAGCAAACAGAGGGAAGGTCATTTAATTTTGGCACCTGGCCAAAATTAAATTTTTAATTGACAAATCATAATTGTATGTATTTATGGGGTACAAAGTTATGTTATGAAATAGATATAAAATTTTCGCAGGTACAGTGGCCCATGCCTGTAATCCCAGCACTTCGGGAAGCTGAGCTGGGAGGATTTCTTGAGCTCAACCAGTTTGAGAAAACCTGAGCAACACAGTAAGACCCTGTTCTTATTTTTAAAAATAAAAATTAATTTTAAGGGCCAGGTGTAGTGGTTGACACCCATAATCGCAGCATTTTGAGAGGCCAAGGTGACAGGATAGCCTGAGCCCAAGAGTTCAAGACCAACCTGGGCAACATAGCGAGATTCCCATCTCTACTAAAAATTTAAAAATTAGCCATCCTGTGCTTGTAGTCCCAGTCATTGGGTAGGCTGAGATGGGAGGATTACTTGAGCCCAGGAACTCAAAATTAAAGCTGCAATGAGCTGTGATTACACCACTGCGCTCTAGCCTAAGCAACAGAGCAAGACCCTGTATCTAAAACATAATAAAAATTTAATTTTAGAAGTCACCTTTTCTCCTCCCCTCTACTTACGGAGTCTTCCTGGCAGCTTGCAGATCCCCCCTTCACCCAGCGGGTCCATTGGAGCTTTACGTCTGGCTTGGATGTGGGTGCCTACGGGAGGCATGGCTACCGCAGGGCTTATAGGAGAACTGGTTGATTTTCCCTCCTAGAGAAAGAAAAACCAGGGCAGTCGAAGAACAGCATCTTGGTGAAGGCTGAGCCATCTTTAAATGTCTGAAGAATTTTTTGGAAGGGAAAGAGTGTTTATCTCTGCCAATACACTGCATCAACCTTAAAGGTAGAAACCATGTATATCTTCAACTAAGTATCATCAACATCTTGTACCCAGTGGACACAATAAATGACATCCTTCCAATTCAAGCTTTCCATACATGTGCCTAACTCCTCCAGAGGACCCCTGGCCAAGGCTTGTCTGATTGAAATCTGAGGGCCTAGGAATACTCACTGGATCCTTGGTGAGGACAGCACAGGAAACCTGAGGGGCCAGGATCAAAAGACCTTACATCAGAAATAAAGAAACAGGCCGGGCGCGGTGGCTCATGCCTGCAATCTCAACACTTTGGGAATCTGAGGCGGATGGATTACCTGAGGTCAGGAGTCTCAGACCAGCGTGACCAACATGGTGAAACACCGTCTCTATGAAAAATACAAAAATTAGCTGTGCATGGTGATGGAGCCTGTAATCCCAGCTACTCCAGAGGCTGAGGCAGGAGAATCCCTTGAACCCAGGAAGCGGAAGTTGGAATGAGCCAAGATCGCACCACAGCACTCCAGCCTGGGCAAGAGGGCAAGACGGTCTCAGAACAAACAAACACTATTTTCAAAAGAGAAGAAGAAAGGATACATTTCTGAATCCTAAGGTCTCATCACTGGAAGCCTGTATCTTTACAATCAACAATTAGCATGGCCTCCAGAGATGACGGGGTTCTTCCATCTCGATGAGAAAACAACAAAAAAAAAAAGTGGCAGGATTTTGGAAGAACAGGAGGCTCCTTGGGGCTCCTGCTCAGCCACAGGCTGCCACAGCACTGAAAGGAAAAGCGAAACCAGTTCCACCAAGTCATTTTTCACTCTAGGATCGTCAATAGCTTTACATTCATCTCTTGGGAACCAAGAAGAGCTGAGAAATATTTTGGATCGGAGCCAGTAAAGTAAACTCCAGAAGCCTTGGCTGCCGCAAAAGGGGATTCAACAGCTTTCAGGGTCGTTCGCACTTCATTCGTGCCTCACCAACTCCCGCGTTGGTGCTATATCCCAAGTAATCAAACCTCAGGGGCTGCCACGTGATGGGGGAGGGAAGCTTGCCTTGCTGGAGAAGGGGCTCAAGGCACAGGAATTGCGTAGGACTTGCAGGAGGCCCCTTGTCGACGCCTCGACCCTCTTCCAAGTAAGAGGAGCGGGGAATTCCGGGGCTGTAACTGACTAGGAAACGCCAGCCACGGAGCTGCTGAGGATCAGACTCCGGGGTTTCAGCATGGAGGCCAGGGAAGGGTCTCATAAATGGATATGTATCTTGGCGAGAAGGGAGTGGAGAAGGGCCTTGGAGGGGGACGGCGCCCCAGCTCTGGGGGCAGTTCTGAGGCTCCTAGGAAACCGGCGAGTGGGGAGGGGCTGCTAAAGAGGAGATCCCTGCGTGAATGCGTTCACCAGCTCTGAGGACCAGGCTCGGGCAGGAACTTCCAGGGACCTCACATCTGGTTGGTGTAGGGGCGACCAGCGGTAAGGGGACTGCAGAAAGGGACTGCAGAAAGGGACTGCAGGGACTGTGCGTGATGCCTTCGGAACTGTCTATGACACCGAGAGAGTCAGGGCCGGTGACCCGCGTCTGGAGGTGGAAAGAGAGGTGAGTGAGGGATGGCTGTGAGGCTTAGGAATGTGTTGGAAAGAGAGATTCCCGCCAGGTAAAAGGTCTGATAAAACAGGTTTGGAAATCGAGGTGGTGGGGAGAGGATGAGGGAGCAGGGGGCTCTGCGGGCGCGCTGCGTGTTCAGCCGCCAGGCTCTTACCTGCATTACAGGTGGAGATGAGGAAGCCACCGGTTTTCTGTCGCGAGCGCTCTCCCGGCTGTGGCTGCTGGGGCCCTAAGACCTGCGCTCCCGAGTCCTCCTCCCCCAAACCCCTAAGAACTGAAAGGATGTGTGGGAGGAAATCTCTTTCGGGGAGCGCCCAGGCGTGTGCGCCCGGGTCTCCCCTAGGCGGGCAGGCGCGCCGAGGCGCTCCAGTAATCGCTTTACTTCCGAGAAACGAAAACGAAAGAGCGGGATGCGGTTCCACTGGCGCCGCTGCGGGTAGGGGCAGGGCGGGAACCCCTCTCCGGGAGCGCAGCCCCGGGCGCTGCCCGCTCGCCAGCCTGGGAGGCGTCGGTAGTGAACACAGCCTCCCTCCGGCTGACAGCCCCTCGGGCGGCCTAGCCTTGGCTCCCATGGGGCAGAGGCGGGATTCTGCGGGATCTGAGGAGCTAAGGGGACCCCTAGTCCTGAACTCGAAACCAACTGCGTCTCTCATGGTCCCAAGCCTAGGACCAGGACCCTGTGAGTCTCCGCACATGGGACGGGCAGGGGACGCCCATAGGGTGTTCCTGGACTTGGTGCCTCTCCCTTTAGGGGTGAGTGAACTTCCCAGCCCCGACCTTGTCTCTGCGCGGAGGCCCAACAGGTCCGGAACCGTAGCGCCATCAGAGCTGCTGTGCTCTCCTAAGCAACGCCAGACTACTTGGAGATCCCGACTGACACCTTTTCCCGGAGCCTCTGGCTGCTCCAGGGTTGGTGCCTGCGCACCATCACCCTTTCCACCTGCCTCGGCTCCCCGTGCCTCAAGAGAGGTTGTGCGCATGAAAACACAGCAGACACCGAAGAAAAGGAAAGAAAAGCCTTAACAACCTTCTGCTGAAAATCTGAGGGTGTAGACGCTGTTGGAAAGAAGGCTTAGCACTGGTGCATCATCATAAGCTCTAGGCCAGCAATAAGAAATCCGGAAGAACAAGTCCAGAAAACCAGTAGAAAAAAAATGAGCAAAGGATATGAATAAACAGTCCACATAACAGGAAATGCTAAATGGTTCCTGAATATATATATATATTTTTAAAAGATGCCCAGGGCCTGGCGAGGTGGCTCATGCCTGTAATGCAAGCACTTTGGGAGGTCAAGGCGGGAGGATCGCTTGAGCCCAGGAGTTCGACATTGGTCTGGAAAACATAGTGAGATCCTGTCTTTACCAAAAATTTAAAAAGTTAGCCCAGCTTGGTAGGGCTACACCTGTAGCCCCAGCTACTCAGGAGGCTGAGGGTGGAAGATCGCTTGAGCCTGAAAAGTGGAGGCTTGCAGTGAGCCGTGATTGTGCGTGCCACTGCACTCCAACCTGGGCAGCAGAGAAAGAAAAAGATGCTCAGACGAACTCATTATTATAAATGTGAAAATTAAAGTCATTCTGAGATAAAAAAATTTTACCCATAAATTTGGCAAAAATTTAAAAGTTTAATAACGTAATCTGCTGGGGAGGCTGAGGGGAACAGGCACCCCACCAGGAGTGTAACGTGGGGCGACCCCATTCATTCAACAAATATCTAAAGTATACATGGTTACTTATTTCATCATGGTTTATAATAGCTAAGTATTGGAAATAACTCAGATGACTATAAAAGGAGGACTGATAAAGTTATGTACATTCATTTCTTTTAATTTTAATTTTCCTTTTTTTTTTTTTTTTTTTTTTTTTAGAGACACGGTCTCACTCTATCGCCTGGGCTGGAGTACAGTGATGCCATCACAGCTCACCTTAACCTCCATCTCCTGGGCTCCAGTGATTTCCCACCTCGGCTCCCAAAGCACTGGGATTACAGATGTGAGCCACCACACCCAGCCAAATTATGTACATTCATTTAACAGAACACAGTGCGAAGCTCTATGAAGTTCTCTGCGGATCATAGCAGGCTCTCCAAGAGGCAGTATGGTACAGTGGTTAATAATCTAGACCAGGGGTCCCCAAACTACGGCCCAGGGGCCACATGCAGCCCCCTGAGGCCATTTATCTGGCACGACATATGACGCACATCTGGTCTCCGGCTGCAGCGCCCCACATCACCAGAAGCAGTGTGAAATAATAGAGAAGTAGGAAGAAAGGCAAAGCACTATAACCAGTACTACACAGTACAATGGCCCCCATACTCCCCCAAATGTACAACAACATAATGGCCCCTATAACCTCCCTTTGCCCAAAAGTCTCCCCCCACATTACTACACACGGTGTTTCCCCTATTATAAGACCCTGTCTTATATTAATTTTACCCCCCAAAAGACAGGGGCTGTCTTATTTTTAGGAGGTGTCTTATAATAGGGGAAACATGCAGCAGTGGGCTTCCCACAGAAGAGGCCCACCGCTGCTGCAGATGTCCAGGACGTTGTATACACAGTGTCACAGGCTGATCACCGCCATCCCTGTATACAGCACTGGAGGCGGTGCTGGGCCTGTGACACTATATACCGCTGTCTGGGATAGTGGAGGCAGCAGCGCTGACTGTGAAGGGTGTCACACCTTGCATAGTCCGGCCCTCCAACGGTCTGAGGGACAGTGAACTGGCCCCCTGTGTAAAAAGTTTGGGGACCCCATCTAGACTTAGGAACACCTGCCTGGTTTGGAATCCCAGCCATGTCACTCACTGGCTGTGTGCCCTTGAGCAAGTCTGTTAACCCCTCTAGTGCCTCTCTCTACTAACTATTGCCTCAATTTCTTAACAGTAAAAAAGAACAAATAATAATACCTATCTCATAAGGTTGTTATGAAAAAGTAAGTTAACATCTGTTAAGACACCCAGAACAGTGCCTGACCATTCATGCTAAGCAAAAAAATCAATGTACAGAACAGTGTGTATTACATGCTACCTCTTACATGTAAATATGTGTGTATATATGTATATGTGTATATGTGTGTGTATATGTGTGTATTAATTAGTATTTATACAAAGAACCTCTGGAAGAATACATAAAAACTAATAAGCATAACTGGAATTTAGGGTAGAAAGTAAGAGAAAGGGTTTTCACTGTAAACCTTTACATATTGTTTTGATTTTTTTTTTTTTTTTTTTTTTTTTTTTTGAGACAGAGTCTCACTCTGTTGCCAGGCTGGAGTGCAGTAGCACCATCTCAGCTCACTGCAACCTCTGCCTCCTGGGTTCAAGCAATTCTCCTGCCTCAGCCTCTTGAGTAGCTGGGACTACAGGCGTGCACCACCATGCCCACCTAGTTTTTCTATTTTTAGTAGAGACAGGGTTTCACCATGATGGCCAGGATGATCTCGATCTCTTGAATAAATGATCTGTCCACCTTGGCCTTCCAAAGTGCTATGTTTTGGGAGTGAGCCACCGTGCCTGGCCTTGTTTTGCTTTTGAATCATATAAATAAAAACCTATTCAAAATAAATTTTTAAAAAGAAAGTTTTAGGGTCTTTTCCATGCCAGCCAGCCAGAACCTAAGTAATAATAGAAATAAATAGGCACTGCCTGAGACAGACTAAAAAATGGGGACATTTCCCTTTGGAAGGACAAAGTCGATGCCTTCAAACCAATACGAGCAGGAATAAGTGGCTAGGTGCTGCCAGGGGGTTCCTCCTTCAAAAAAGAAATATGTACAGGGGTTTCATGCTTAATAAAATAACAATATTTATTTCATTTTTAGAATTTTTAAAAATAACACATCTCCTATGAAGAACTCAAGATATACACATAAACTTTTAACTTCTAACAACAAACTTTCTTAATATTTATACTTCTTTTCAAGGAGGGGAGGGAGGGAATATGAGGTAGACAAAAAGGTAGAAGGAGAAGAACGAAGGTGAAAGAACTGCGTAAGAGAGTGAGGAGAGAATGAGTGAAATACATTCAACAGGCAAAGGGTCCACCACCCAATAACAGCAAATCCATCCAGCAATAGCAAAAGTTTTTGCCTTGTGATGGATTCATAACCCTTTCAGGTCTTACACTCTTCTAGAAGGCAGGACTGTTGGCCAAGGACTAAGCACTCCCGATTTTAAGCAGGCAAGCATAAAAGAGAATGGCAGAGCAGGGAAAGACACCTTCCGGCAGGGCCGAGTGGTTGGGAAACACCGGCGTGGTTGAAGAGACTTGAAGGGGGTCACAGAGGAGTGAGAGGATCAAAGGTGAGGAAAGAACGTAAATGTTGTAGAATCAGAGCCTGAGAAGGATTTGGAAACACCCCAAGCTGCTGGTGGTGGTAGTGGGACCTCTAGGCATGGAAATGGGAAGGTAGATGGATGAGCCATTTGTTGGATTTGAGTATTAGAGACAAACGTTTCCTTTCAATTTTCCAGAGAGGGTTGGAGCCAGGATTGGGGTGGGGAGGTGACATGTCACTGAGGAGAAGCTGGCACTGCAGATCTGGACATGAGTGACAAGAGTGGAGTCAACAGGTCAGCAGAGGGCATGGTACCCAGGGAGTGGCCCAGGAGCAAGTGCCCATTTCTGTGACCTTTAGTTTGAGGATGAGGTTCTATTTCATTCCTGGAAGGAAATGCTCAAGGTTTCCTCACAAGGAGCCCTGGGGCCATCCATGGCACTGGCATTTGCTGGACAGCAAGGCTTCCTGGGCTCCTAATTACTCCCTGGGTTTTTACCATGACGTGATCACAGACATCTCATAGCTAGCTCCTCTAAAGTGGCAAATGGCTCCTGTGCCCGCAGTTCTTCAGCAAACCAGGTGTAGACCAACAGTGATGGGTACAAAGAGAGGGAGACGGAGAAGGGTGTTCTTCCCATCTGTCCCAGTGGGAGTCATGCTTCTCAGAGGATAGAAAGAAAGCAGAACTTGACCTTTATATTCCTTTTACAGCAAATGGTTGTTCCAGAAAAAATGCAGCAACACCTGAACTCTTCTAAAGAAAAAGAAGACAAAATGATCTAGTGCATCTCTGCCATCCTGTTGAAGATCCTATTTGAAAAAAGGGAGAGAGAGAGAGAAAGGTTGTTTTAAAAAGTGATAGAATAATCCAAAGTTAAAAATTAAACACAATAGGAAATAGTAATTCAATCCATGCCACAAACAAGCTTCTCAGGTTGCTTTAAGAGTTGTATGAGCTGAAGGACAGTACCTTTCATGTGCCCATATCCTCACATCGCCTTGGAAGTTTGCCTCTGGACTTATTTTCCTGTCTGGTCATCTTTCCCATCTGGCCTCAAACTCCTGAGCTCAAGTGATTCTCCCACCTCAGCCTCCCCCGTAGCTAGGACCAAAGATGCACAGCATCATGTCTGGCTAATGCTGTACAGACAGGGTCTCACTAGTTGCCTAGGCTGGTCTCAACAAATTGGGGCTCATCTGCAAATTGGGGCACCCTTTCCAGGACTGATAACCTATTCCCCGGGCTTCCCAGAACACTTTTCTACTTCTCTCAAAGAGGTGAGCAAGTTTGCCTTAAGGCTAGAAGAAAGTAGAGAAGCCTGAGCATGGTGACTCCTGCCTGTAGTCCCAGCACTTTAGGAGGCCAAGGCAGGAAAATGGCTTGAGCTCAGGAGTTTGAGACCAGCCTGGGTAACATGACGAAACCCTATCTCTAGAAAAGAAGCAGCCAGGAGTGGTGGAACACACGTGTAGTCCCAGCTACTCAGGAGTTTCTCTCTGAAACTCCACTGCTTCTCCTGAAATACCTAGGACAGTAATTCATAGGGTTAATGGCAGAGGTGGGAGCATCACCTGAGCCTGGGAGGTCAAGGCTGAGTGAGCTGTGATTGTGCCACTGCACTCCAGCCTGGGCAACAGAGGGAGATCCTGTCTCAAAAAATAATAATGATTAATAATGTCTAGACTTGGATGGGCAAAGAGGTGAGGTGAATATTAAGTATTTTGGAGCAAAAGGTAACAACTGTTTATGTCGCAACATCAGAACAAGAAGACTGTGGGTCAGACACAAATGCTCCCCACCCTGCCCCTGCAGTCTGTTCTCAGCACAGCCTCCTCTGTGGACTGTTGAAATGCGGCTCCTCTGCTCAGTGCACTCCGATGACTTCACCTCACTTAGAAAAAAAGTCCTTGCGGTGACCTCAAGGCCCTACCTAATCCGCCCACCACCCACCCTTCTGACCATATCTTCTATGACTTTATCCCTCACTCAGCTTCAGCCACATGGGCCTTCTTGCCACTCTTCAAACATGTGAGACGCACTTCTGCCCCAGGGGCTTTGCTGCCCTCCTGCCTCCCATCCTCTGCCTCCTCCCCCATATCCACAGCTCAGTCCCACACTTATTTCAAGCTTTTCCTCAGAAGTCACCTTCTTGGTGACTCACACCTGTAAGCACTTTGGGAAGCCAAGGCCGGTGGATCACTTGAGTCCAGGAGTTTGAGACCAGCCTGGCCAACATGGTGAAACACACCCTCTACTAAAAATACAAAAATAGCCGGGTGTGGTGGCACATGCCTGTAATCCCAGCTACTCGAGAGGCTGAGGCATGATAATTGCTTGCATCTGGGAGGCAGAGGTTCCAGTGATGACTTTGTGCCACAGCATGCCAGCCTGGGTGACAGAGTGAGACTATCTCTCGGGGAAAAAAAAAGTCACCTTCTCAATGAGGCCTTCCCTTAACATCTCTACTTAACATTGCAAACCTCAACATTCTTTATTCCTTTCCTTGCTTAATTTTTCTCCAAAGGATCTATAACTATCTGGTAAGCTACATAATTTATTTGTGTAGATATTGTTTGTCTCCCTTCCAAACTCCGCGAGATCAGGAATATTGTCTCTTTGATCACTCCCATATCTCCAATACTAAACAGAGCCTAACATACAGCAGGTGCTTAATAAAAGTTGAATAAATGAATGAAGGAAGGAATGAAAAACCATTAGCAGTAGGCTAAGGAACTTAGACTTTGTCCTGTTAGTAACTAAAAGTCATTAAAGGATTTTTTCCCTTCTTATAGTTGATATCAGCTAGGAAAACAGAATGAATTTTCTTTCAGCATGGCAGACAAGAAAAAGTATAGAACACTGAGTCAGATGCTCATATTTAAATTCCAGTTTTGCCATTTAGAAGCTAAGTGACCCGGCTGGGCGCGGTGGCTCAAGCCTGTAATGCCAGCACTTTGAGAGGCCGAGGCGAGTGGATCACGAGGTCAAGAGATGGAGATCATCCTGGTCAACATGGTGAAACCCCGTCTCTACTAAAAATACAAAACATTAGCTGGGCATGGTGGCGCGTGCCTGTAATCCCAGCTCTTCAGGAGGCTGAGGCAGGAGAATTGCCTGAACCCAGGAGGCGGAGGTTGCGGTGAGCCGAGATCGCGCCATTGCACTCCAGCCTGGGTAACAAGAGCGAAACTCCGTCTCAAAAAAAAAAAAAAAAAAAAAAAAGAAGCAGCTAAGTGACCTTAGATAAGTTTTTTTTTTTTTTTTTTTTTTTTTTTTTTTGAGACGGAGTTTCGCTCTTGTTACCCAGGCTGGAGTGCAATGGCGCGATCTCGGCTCACCGCAACCTCCGCCTCCTGGGTTCAGGCAATTCTCCTGCCTCAGCCTCCTGAATAGCTGGGATTACAGGCACGCGCCACCATGCCCAGCTAATGTTTTGTATTTTTAGTAGAGACGGGGTTTCACCATGTTGACCAGGATGATCTCCATCTCTTGACCTCGTGATCCACTCGCCTCGGCCTCTCAAAGTGCTGGCATTACAGGCTTGAGCCACCGCGCCCGGCCTGACCTTAGATAAGTTTTTGTAATCTTTCCCTGAAACCCCACTGCCTCTCCTGAAATAACTATGACAGTAATTCATAGGGTTATTGGGAGAATTAAATGAAACATGTACAAGTGTCTCAAACAATACCTGGAAAAAAAATTTTTAATAAATGAGTTTCCCTCCCTTCTTTCTAACAAACTGAGAAATTCCTTACGCATTATGATAATAGTCAGATTCCTAGAGGAAACAGATGGCACACCCAAATTAGGCTAATTTGAGGTGAGTTGAATAAAGAGACTCTACAGAGGTGTGGAGAAACCACAGAGGATGGTGCAGTACCCAGACCCAGTAAGAACAGAGTTGTCACCACTCCTAGGGGCCAAGGGACAGGGAGGGAGCAGTTTCCAGAACCCAGAAAGAGAGAAAAATTTCAAAGGCATATTTAAAATTCTAAAAGTAATGAGAACCCTAACTGTTTTAAAACATGCTTTGTATCTAGAAAAAGTAAATGTACTAGATTTAAAAAAAAAAAAAAAAAAAACTGGTTAAAAAAAAAGAAAAACAGATACTTGAACAAAAATAACCCCACACAACTCAATGGCAAAACAGAAGTTTGTTTGTTTGTTTGTTTGTTTGTTTGTTTGTTTGTTTTCAGATTCAGGGTCTCTCTCTGTCACCCATGTTGAAGTACAGTGACATAATCAGAGCTCACTGCAGCCTCGAATTCCTGGGCTCAAGCAATCCTCCTACCTCAGCCTTCCAAGTAGCTGGGCTACAGGAACACACCACCACACCTGGCTAATTTTTTTTTTTTTTTTTTGAGACGGAGTTTCGCTCTTGTTACCCAGGCTGGAGTGCAATGGCACGATCTCGGCTCACCACAACCTCCACCTCCTGAGTTCAGGCAATTCTCCTGCCTCAGCCTCCTGACTAGCTGGGATTACAGGCAAGCGCCACCATGCCCAGCTACTTTTTTGTGTTTTTAGTAGAGACGGGGTTTCACCATGTTGACCAGGATGGTCTCGATCTCTCGACCTCGTGATCCACCCACCTCGGCCTCCCAAAGTGCTGGGATTACAGGCTTGAGCCACCGCGCCCGGCCCCTGGCTAATTTTTTTAAAAATTGCTCTGTAGAGACAGGTGTCTCACTATGTTGCCCAGGCTGGTCTCCAACTCCTGGCCTCAGCCTCCCAAAGTGCCGGGATTACAGGTGTGAGCCACTGTGTCTGGCCTAAAAGATGTTATTTTGAGAAACACAGAACACTTTTGAAAAGACAGAGCACTTGCTTAAGAAAAAAAATAAGAGAGCCAAAAATTTGGCAGCTCAAGAACAATCCATTTAGCAGATACAAATATAACTTGATGAGCTGCTTGATAGGCAGTTCCAAGAACAAGAATAAAAGTTTCTTTAAATACATCAACGGCAGGAAGCTATCTAGAGAATCGATGTGACTGCTTGATTAAACAGAGTACAAAAGGTAAATAATTTATGACTACATACTAAAGAAAGTTACCATGCCAGACTTGAAATTCTGTTAAAGTTCCTTGACTTGAACTTTGAAGCAGCAAAGCCTTCAGCATTTCAGAGCCAAACTTAAAAGGATTTTTTTTCTTTTTGAGACAGGGTCTCACTTTGTTATCCAGGTCGGAATGCAGTGGCATAATCACAGCTCACTGCAGGCTTGACCTCTCAGGCTCAAGGGATCTTCCCACCTCAGCCTCCCAAGCAGCTGGGACTGTGGTTACCACACTCAGCTGGAATTTTTTCAAACTATTATTTTTTTAATGTGTTGTGGTCTATTTAAGGGTGTTCAAGGCTGAGCACCATGGCTCATGCCTGTAATCCTAGCACTTTGGGAGGCTAAAGTGGGCAAATTGCTTGAGCCCAGGAGTTTGAGACCAGGCTGAGCAACATGGTAAAATCCTGTCTCTACAAAAAAAAAAAAAAAAAAAATTAGCCAGGTGTGGTGGTGGGCAACTGTGGTCCCAGATACTCTGGAAGCCTACATGGGAGAATTGCTTGAATCTGGGAAGTTGAGGCTGCAGTGAGATAGTGCCACTGCACTCCAAACTGGGCAACAGAGTGGGACCCTGTCTCCAAAATAAAAATAAAAGATATTCTAAAGTGCAAGTTTGTAGGTTTGTAGTACAGAACAAAATATATTTAAATGTCTAGGTCAAAACCAGCTTTGTAAAGTTCTGCAAAAAAAGCTGGAGTAGGCATAAGTATAGCCATAGACATCAATGGAACAGAATTGAGAGTACAGAAATAAACCCTCACATTTACAGCCAATTGGTTTTCAACAAGTGTGCCAATGATGGTGATGGCTGCTGCCGTCATGCCAGCTGCAGCAGGAAGGCGTAGCTGGGGCTGCACACTCTATGGAGCTGGTGGGAGCCCCACCCCTTCTGAGTTGGAGCAGGAGCTCTCTGGGTGCCACTGTGGCCACCCTCCCAGTCTCAGAACCCAGGCATCTCTGCAGCCTGCACACCCTTGAGGCCCTAGAAAGGACCCTCCTTCTGAAGACTCAAGGGTGTCTGCTCACACTGCTTGGCCTCTCTCTGCTCCCAGAGCCTGCTCCAATCTCTGAGCAGGGGTTGGGGCCGAGTCCCGCATGGCAGCTGGAGGCAGACTGATTCCTGGGTGGAAGGGGGTGGGTCTGCAGTGAGGCCCCCACCTTCAGGCCAAGGAGGGCCTGAAGGCTGAGGGCCAGGCTGTCAGTCCTGTGGACCAGAGTGGGGACTGCTGGTGCTTCTTTCAGTCCCACCCATGGCCACCCATAGACCAATTGGCATGCACTGCCACCCTTCTGAGGTCCATAAAAACCCTGGGCTCAGCCAGAGCTGGGCAGAGGATGTCTTTGAGACAAAGAGGGTTGAGAGACAACGGGATGATCAGCTGCCGAGAGGAGCTAACTCTCTGCCGATAGCTGGAGATGAGGGAACTACAAGTTGCAAAGAGGAGCTGCCCTCTCTGCTGAGAGCTTCAGAGACAACCTGCTGGCAGAGAGGAGCCACCCTCTCCAGGGCCACCTAGCCACTGAGACCTGCAGATATTGGGAAGACCAATTGCAAAGAGGAGCTACCCTCTCCAGGGCCTCCTCTGTATTGAGAACTGAACACTCAATGGATGCCCTGCCTACAGAGAGGAGCTACCCACTGTGGGTCTCCTCTGAGCTGTTGTAACACTCTATAAAGCTCATCTTTGTCTTGTTTACCCTTCACTTGTCTACATGCCTCATTCCCCCAGATGCATTCTTCCTGGACGCAAGACAAGAAGTTGGGGGAAATATGCCATGGCCACAGAGGTTTCTGGCCAGAAAACTGACACCCCAAAGATCCCGTAACAAGAAGACAATTTATAGGGAAACAACAGTCTTTTCAACATATGGTACTTCAGAGACAGTGGGATGCACCTGTAGTCCCAGCTGCTCAGGAGGTTGAGATGGGAGGATCTCTTGAGCCCAGGAGTTCAGGGCCTGCCTGGGCAGCATAACAAGACCCCCATCTCAAACAAATAAATAAACAACAAAATCCATATGGTGTTGGGACAACTGGATACCCATATGCCAAAAAAAATGAAGATAGACGCCGGGCGCGGTGGCTCAAGCCTGTAATCCCAGCACTTTGGGAGGCCGAGGCGGGTGGATCACGAGGTCGAGAGATCGAGACCATCCTGGTCAACATGGTGAAACCCCGTCTCTACTAAAAATACAAAAAATTAGCTGGGCATGGTGGCGCGTGCCTGTAATCCCAGCTACTCAGGAGGCTGAGGCAGGAGAATTGCCTGAACCCAGGAGGCGGAGGTTGCGGTGAGCCGAGATCGTGCCATTGCACTCCAGCCTGGGTAACAAGAGCGGAACTCTGTCTCAAAAAAAAAAAAAAAAAGAAGATAGACTTTTAACTCAAATGTATATAAAAATTAACTTCAGGTGGATCAAAGACCTCAATGTGACAGCTAAAACTAAAAAGCCTTTAGAAGAAAACATAAGTGTAACACTCAAAGTAAAAGCACTAACAACAAAAAGAAAAGTCGATAAATTGAACTTCATCAAAACTTAAAACTTTCGTGCTTTAAAGAACACTATCAACAAACTAAAAGGACAACATACAGAATGGGATACAATATTTGCAAATTATATATCTGATAAGGAAGGTACACCTAGAATATAAAAATGACTCCTAGGCCAAGGCAGGAGGATCATTTGAGCCCAGGAATCCAGGAACAGCCTGGACAATGTAGTGAGGCCCTGTCTCTACAAAAAATAAAATAAAATAAAAATAAAAAAATCAGCCAGGTGCGGTGCCATGTGCCTGCAGTCCCAGCTACTCAGGACGCTGAGGTAGAAGGATCAGTTGAACCCAGTAGTTCAAGGCTGTGTGAGCTATGATCACAGCACTGCACTCCAGATGAGGCAACAGAGCAAGACTGCCTCAAAAAAAAAAAAAAAAAACTCCTACAATAATAAAAAGATAAGTAGTCCAATTATAAATGGGCAACGATATGAATAGACATTTATCTAAAGAGAAAAATGATTAATAAGCTTATGAAAAGATGCCTATTATCCATCAGGGAAATGCAAATCAAAACCACAATGAGATATACTTCACACTCACAAGGATGGCTATAATCAAAAAGATAGCTAATAACAACTATTAGAAAGGATGTGGAGAATCTGGAACCCTCATACACTGCTGGTGGGCCACAGTGTATAATAGTGCAGCCACTTTGAAAAACAGTCTGGAAGTTCCTCAAAAAGCAATTCCATTCCCAGGTATGTACCCAAAATAATTAAAAACAATGTCTACACAAAAACTTAAATACAAATGTTCATAGCTTCATTATTCACAATAGCCACAAAGTGGAAACAACCCAAATATCCAGCCACTGGTGAATGGATAAGCAAAATGTCGTATATCCATACAATAGAACAGTCAGCTGTAAAAAGAAGTACTGATACATGCTACAATGCGGTTAAGCCTTGAAAAAACTATGTTAAGTGAAAGAGGCCATACACAAAGCTCCATATCGTGCTATTCCACTTACACAAAAGGTTTGAATAGGCAAATCCAGAGACACAAAGTAGATTGGGGGGCTGGGCTTTGCACTGGCTGTTCCCTCTACCTGGAACACTTTCCCACTCCAGGTGTTCCCGTGACTAGTAGCTCCCTTGTTTCCAGTCTCTGCTCAGATATCACCTTCCCAGAGACGCCTTCCCTGACCACCCATACGTAGCCACTCTGCATCAGTCAGTGTGCCCTGATCCTGCTTGGAGCTCGCATCCCTGTCTGACTTAGCTGTTTATCGTTCATCTGCTTTGTTAATCTGCCCCCTCCCTGCATCATTTCTGTGAGACCTGCTGCTCACCCCTGTAGCCACCAATGCCTGGAACTGAGTCTGGCATATAGTAGGCACTCAATTAATATTTGTTGGCATGAAATTGACTTATCAAATAGTTTATTTGATTGTCTATTCTCTCTATGTTTATTTTATCTTTATTTCCCTCTTGCATTTTTTTTTTTTAACCAAGTCTCACTCTGTCGCCCACACTGTGACACAATCTCGGCTCACTGCAACCTCTGCCTCCTGGGTTTAAGCGATTCTCCTGCCTCAGCCTCCCAAACAGCTGGTATTACAGGTGCGTGCCACCATGCCTGGCTAGTTTTTGTGTTTTTCAGTAGAGACGAGGTTTCACCATATTGGTTAGACTTGTCTCAAACTCCTGACCTCAAGTGATCCGCCCGCCTCGGTCTCCCAAAGTGCTGGGATTATAGGTGTGAGCTACTGCACTTGGCCCCTACTTGCTTTTATAGCATTATTGTTGAGATTTCCCATTCATATTTTGTCTCAGGGATGTTTTATTTGAGGGCAAGGCTGTGTGTTGTCCACATTTGGACCTGAGTATAAAAGAGGACATGGCACTCCCTGTGGCATGCATGGTGGAGGCTGCACCAAGAAAGCTTCACAGGATAGTTCAATCTAAGGGCAAGAAGTTGGGCTCTGAGGGGCTGCCATCTTGTCTGTCATGGAGCCCATGTGATCATTCTCTGCTGCCAAATACAGGTTGTTCTGGAGAAAAAAAAAGTTAGCTATGGATTTCATCACCCCCAAAATTTCAAACAGTAATCATTAGTCTTTCCTATTTTCCCTTTTTATCTCATATAATAACCAGGAGAAACTAAGAAACCGGCCGGGGTAGGGCCTGCATCCTACCCTTCGGGCTGATTCAGGGAGGATAACCAAAGTCCAAGGCACAGCTTCTCCTCCCTGACTGTGCATTAGATTCACTGAGGCAGTTTTTTAAATGCCAGGTGCCCCAGCCTTACCTTGTGCCAATTAAATCAGAATTTCTCCAGGTTGGGCCCAGGCATCTGTCATTCTTAAAACTCAACAGGTGATTCCAATTGTATCCTATTTTGAGGGTGTGGAGCAGTTTCTCACACTTCAATGTGCACACAAATTCCCTGGGGAATGTGTAAAAAGGTAGATTCTGGGCTGGGTGAGGCAGCTCATGCCTGTAATCCCAGCACTTTGGGAGGCCGAGGCAGGCGGATCACGAGGTCAGAAGATTGAGACCATCCTGGCTAACACTGTGAAATCTTATCTCTACTAAAAATACAAAAAATTAGCCAGGCGTGGTGGCACTCGCCTGTAGTTCCAGCTACTTGGGAGGCTGAAGCAGGAGAATCACTTGAACCCGGAGGCAGAAGTTGCAGTGAGCCGAGATCATGCCACTGTGCTCCAGCCTGGGCAACGAGAGCGAAAGGTAGATTCTGATTCTGACTGTGTGGGTTGGGGTCTCAGATCTTGCATATCTAACCAGGTGACATTGATGCTGCCAGTCCACAGACCACAATCTGAGCAGCAAGTATGAGATTAAATGTCAGCTTTGGCTCAGGTTCACAATGTTTAGATCGAATATTTGGTAATCCAGACAGTATTAATCCATGAATTTTGATAATTTCTGGGTGTCTCAGACACTTGGCAGCCATAGTTTTGTTTAGTCTTTCCTCCAACCTGACAGGCCCTGGCTGGGGAAAGTGGAGCCTCACCTCTTGAACCATCCTGTGATCAATGCTGTCCCCAATGTGTCTCAGCTGCATGGCCAACTTGTGAATTATTTCCTCCTGGTGATGCTTCTGACCGATGCTATGCTCCTTGGGCTGAGAAGGGAGCTTATGATCTGCATTGATAGAAGAGTTCAAAAGAGACAGTATCACTTAATTATCTGTAAAATCACTTACCACTAGTTACTTAAAAACTGTCTTAGAAAATGAGAGGGTTGGCTGGGTGCAGTAGCTCACAGCTGTAATCCCAGGACTTTGGGAAGCCGAGGTGGGTGGATCATTTGAGATCAAGAGTTCAAGACCAGCCTGGTCAACACAGCGAAATCCTGTTTCTACTAAAAATACAAAAAATTAGCTGGACATGGTGACAGGTACCTGTAATCCCAGCTACTCGTGAGGCTGAGGCAGAAGAATTGCTTGAACCCAGGCAGCAGAGGTTGCAGAGAGCTGAGACAGCTCCATTACACTCAGTCTGGGTGACAATAGCAAAACCCTTCTCAAAAAAAAAAAAAAAAAATGAAAGGGTCGAAATTCAGTCATTATAATAATTATCAAAAAGCAAAGCCAAACTGTTGGAATAGATCAGCTCTCTCCAATAGAAATATAATTCAAGCCACATATGTAATTTTATATTTTCTAGTAGTAAAATCAGGTAAAATTAATTTTAGCAATTTATTTTGCCTAAATCAATTTATTCAAAATATAACATTTATCAGTATAAAATTATTAATGATGTATTTTATATTTTAAAATTATACCTAAGTCTTTGAAATTCAGTGCTTATTTTGTACTTATAAAACACCTCAATTTAAAGCCTAACTTTTCACTGAAAAATCTTGATCTATACTTAGATTTCATGAAGTTAACCGTTTAAAAAGTAGATTCAGGCCAGATGCCACGGCTCACATCTATAATCCCAAAACTTTGGGAGGCCAAACTGGGAGGATCACTTGAGCCCAAGAGTTTCAGACCAGCCAGGGCAACATAGTGAGACCCTGTCTCCATGAAAAATTTAATAATTAGCTATGTGTGGTAGCTCACACCTGTAGTTCCACCTACTCGGCCGAGATTGACATGGGAGAATTGCTTGAGCCTAGGAGGCAGAGGCTGGAGTGAGCTATGATCACACCACTACACTCCAGCCTGAGTAACAGAGCAAGACCCTGTCTCAAAAAATAAATAAATAAATAGATTCACATATCCAGGTAATTTCAAACATACTTAACAGGGCTCCAACAATTCAATCAAGTATCAGTTTTAAAATGTAAATTAATTAAAATTAACTAAAACTTAAAATTCAATTCCTCAGTTGCACCAGCCACATTTCAAGTGCTCATAACCAAATGTGGATGGTAGCTATTGTATTGGACAAGCAGTAATAGATCTTTAGTTTTTCAAAATAGATTTTTCCACTATATATATATAATATATATTACAGTTGTGTGTGTGTATATATATATATAAAAAATGGAAAAATCTATTTTGAATAATAATATATATAAATATAAATTTATAGATATAATATATATGTTTATTTATATATATATATATATATATTTTTTTTTTTTTTTAAATAGACACAGGGTCTTGCTTTGTTGCCCAGGCTGATCTTGGTCTTAACTCCTGGGCTCAAGCAATCCTCACACCTCAGTCTTCCAAAGTGCTGAGATTACAGGAATGAGCCACTATGCCCAGCCCCATTTAATATTTTTACCCAGTCTCCTTGATGAGCCCTCCAAACTCTATTTGCTTTTAGCAACCAATGAGCGTTTTTAAGCAACACTGTAAGTTAACACTTGTTGGGTGCCTTGGGGAAGGCCTAAAAGATATAGACAAGGTTTCTGTCCTTTAGTCACCTAGAACGCATGGGTTAGAGATGATACAATTCCCAATTGCTCTAGGACTGCAGAAGAGAAGGAAATAAATTTGGGCTAAAGTAGATATAAGTATGGTTTCATAGAGAAAGCAAGAGTTGTGTTGGATCTGTTTCATTTCAATAAAATTGGAGGACCTTTGATTTCAGGCCTGTCCTCAAAGAGTCCAGTGGGAGAGAGACACAAACTATGATTCAACATGTTACAGCAAGCACAAGGTTTGCACAGAGGGGTCAGGAAGGCATACCAAACAAAGTAGATGATACATGAGTTGAGTCTTGAAGGATGAAGGATGACTAAGAACTAGCCTGGAGAAGAAACAGACTGGGGAAGGGCCAGCTAGGAGAGTGCAAACAAGACATTCCAGGCAGAAAGATCAGGCTTGGGGGTGACAGGGAGGTTTTATGCATAAACTCTAAGTGGTGCTGTTGTTGAAAGGCAGGGGCATAGGAGACAAAGCTAACAGAGAAGGCACAAGAAGAGGATTGAACTTTATCCAGTAGAGATAAAGGCAAGCTCCCCAAGGGGAGGCTTTTTAAAACTCCCAGTGCTGAGGCCTCTCTCCACTCCAATGAAATCAGAAGGCTTGGTGGTTGGACCAAGCATCAGTAATTTTTTTTTTTTTTTTTAGAGACACAGTTTCATTCTGTCGCCGAGCAGTGGTACTATTTCGGCACTACCACACACAACTGATTTTTGTATTATTAGTAGAGATGGGGTTTCACCACACTGGCCAAGCTGGTCTCAAACTTCTGACCTCAAGTGATCTGCCCACCTCAGCCTCCCAAGTGCTAGGATTGCAGACATGAACCACCGTGCCTGGCCAGTATTTTCTTTAAGCTCCACAGGTGGTTCCCATGCGCAGCCAGGTTTGAGGATTGACAGTTTAGGAAGGTTGAGTAAGTTGCCTAGGGTTTGAAAGCCAGTGAATGTGAAAGTCAGGATTTAAACTCAAGTCTGTCTGGCTGCCGAGCCCATGCACTTAACCTTAGCACGGACCCTGAACTAAAGTAGTACTAATAGGGATGTAACAGCGGAAACAGATTATATATTTAGGAAACAGAATAGGCTGGGATTTAGTATTAGAAGAGAAAGAAAGGAAAAGGGAAACTCCCACTTTTCAGGCTTGGGAGATTGAAATGGCAAAGGCAGCATCAGCCTGTACAGAGAACGGGGTGGAGAGAGGGCAGGTGTAGAAGGCAGAGGAGGCCAGTAAAAAGAGAAGGAAGAAAACTTGAGTTCATTTATAAATTTTAGGTACTAGGCATGGTGGCTCACACCTGTAATCCCAGCACTTTGGGAGGCCAAGGCAGGCAAATCGCCTGAGCTCAGGAGACCAGTATGGGCAATATGGTGGAACCCCATCTATACCAAAAATACAAAAAGTTAGCTAGGCATGGTGGCACACGCCTGTGGTCCCAGCTACTTGGGAGGTTGAGGTGAGAGGATCACTTGAGCCTGGAGGTTGAGACTACAGTGAGCTGAGCTGAGATTGTGCCACTGCACTCCAGCCTGAGTGACAAAGAGAGAGACCCTGTCTCAAAATAAGCAAATAGGCTGGGTGCAGTGGCACATGTCTATAATCCCAGCACTTTGGAAGACTGAGGTAGGTAGAACACCTGAGGTCAGGAGTTCAAGATCAGCCTGATTAACAGGGTGAAACCCCATCTCTACTAAAAATACAAAAATTAGCTGGGCATGGTGGTAGGGGCCTGTAATCCCAGCTACTCAGGAGGCTGAGGCAGGAATATCGCTTGAACCCAGGAGGCAGAAGTTGCAGTGAGCTGAAATTGCACCATTGCACTCCAGCCTAAGCAGCAGAGCAAGACTCCATCTCAAAAAATAAAAATAAACAAATAAAATAAACAAATTTTAGGTAACTTTATGACATCTTAGCAAGCATTTGGATAACATTTGAAGCACAGAGGATGTAGAATTTAAGATAAAGAGTTTAAGAGTCATTGGAATTGGCGAAGGACCATTTATTTAAAAAAAAAAAGAAAATTTTTAATTAAAAAAGAGTCATTATTCATTCTTTATTCAATAACAATATAAGAGAGTAGTTGTGATTGAGGAAGAATTTATATAGGTGATGACAGAACCTCTAGATAAGACAGATGGTTAACAAGATAGGCAAAGGAACAAAAGTTCACAGAAATGACTGAGAAAAATCATCAAAGAGGTAAAAGGGGAACCAGGAAAATGGTGTCAGGAAAGGCATCTTTCAAGTCTTGTTGAAAATTTGCTTTTAAAATGTATTAATGGGCTCTGTTACTTGGTCAACTACAGTATAAGAACACAGCCAAGGGTGACATAACTGTATTTCAGTCAACCACAGATCACGTATACAATGGTGATCTCATAAGATTGTAAAGAAGCTGAAACATTCCTATCACCTAGTGACATCATCAATGTGTTACTCATGTGTTTGGTGATGCTGATGTAAACAAACCTATTGTACCGCCAGTCACTCAAGCAATCCTCCCACCTTAGCCTCCTGAGTAGCTGGGACCACAGGTGCACACCACCAAACCCAGCTAATTTTTGTATTTTTTGTAGAGATGGGGTCTTGCCATGTTCCCCACGAGGGTCTTGAACTCCTGAGCTCAAGCAATCCACTTGCCTTGCCGTCTCTTAGTGCTGAGATTACAGGTATGCACCACTGTGCCTGGCCTGTTATTTTAGAGTATATATACTCCTTCTAGTAATTAAAAAAAAAAAAAAAATGTTAACTGAAAACAGCCTCAGGCAGGTTCTTCAGGAGGTATTCCAGAAGAAGGCATTGTTATCATAGGAGATGACAGCTCCATGCATATATTACCCCTGAAGACCTTGCCATGGGACAAGATATGGAGGTGAAAAAGAGTGATATTGATGAGCCTGATCCTGTGTAGGCCTAGGCTAATATATGTGTTTGTGTCTCAGTTTTTAGGAAAAAGTTAACAAAGTAAAACACAAAATAAAAAATTTTTTTTTTTTTTTTTGAGACGGAGTTTCGCTCTTGTTACCCAGGCTGGAGTGCAATGGCGCAATCTCGGCTCACCGCAACCTCCGCCTCCTGGGTTCAGGCAATTCTCCTGCCTTAGCCTCCTGAGTAGCTGGGATTACAGGCACGTGCCACCATGCCCAGCTAATTTTTTTTTTTTGTATTTTTAGTAGAGACGGGGTTTCACCTTGTTGACCAGGATGGTCTCGATCTCTCGACCTCGTGATCCACCCGCCTTGGCCTCCCAAAGTGCTGG